GCGGATGCAACCGATGCTGCTCGAAGCGCTTCCGATATTGTTCTTACAGAACCTGGTCTCAGTGTTATCATCAGCGCTGTTTTAACCAGTCGAGCTATATTTCAAAGGATGAAGAATTACACGGTAATGTGTTCTTTGTGTTTAGCTACGAGATCTTATTTGTTCTGATTCTGACTCATGTTTGATCTTTGTCCATGCCAGATTTATGCAGTTTCCATCACAATACGTATCGTGGTAAGCTCTTAGGACACATATTTGAAAATCTGCATCTGTTCTTTCCTGCCATGCACTGAACGACGAATTACGTTTGATTTTGTTCGTTGCAGCTTGGTTTCATGTTGCTGGCCCTCATTTGGAAATTCGATTTCCCACCATTTATGGTGCTTATCATAGCTATCCTTAACGATGGTTCGTTCGAAGTTCCTCGAGTTGAAGCTAATTTATGTTACTTTTTTGACTGTTTATGGAGATTCATCAGCATAACCAATGTGTAGGCACAATCATGACAATATCAAAGGACAGGGTTAAGCCATCTCCTCTCCCAGATAGTTGGAAGCTGGCTGAAATTTTCACTACTGGCATTGTTCTTGGCAGCTACTTGGCGATGATGACAGTCATATTTTTTTGGGTGTCGTATAAAACCAACTTTTTCCCGGTAAGATATCTTAATCTTTTGAAGATTATGTGGGATAAGATTATGTGTGAGATCCCACATTGGTTGGGGAGGAGAACGAAACACCCTTTATAAGGTGTGGAAACCTCTCCCTAGCACACAATGTTTTAAAAATCTTGAGGGAAAGCCCAAAGAGGACAATATCTATTAGTGGTGGATATAGGCTGTTACAAATGGTATTAGAGCTAGACATTGGGCGATGTGCCAACAAGGAGGCTATTCCCTAAAGAGAAGTGTGTCAGTAAGGACGTTGGGCCCTGAAGTGGGGTGGTGGATTTGGTGGGGGTTCCACATCGATTGGAGAAAGGAACGAGTGTCAGCGAGGATGCTGGGCCTTGAAGGGGGGTGAATTGTGAGATCCCACATCGGTTGGGGAGGAGAACGTAACACCCTTTATAAGGTGTGGAAACCTCTCCTTAGCAGACGTGTTTTAAAAACCTTGAGGGAAAGCCCAAAGAGGACAATATCTGCTAGCGGTGGGTTTGGGCTGTTACAAATGGTTATCAGAGCTAGACACCGAGTGATATGCCAGCGAGGAGGCTGTTTCTTAAGAGGGGTAGACACGAGGCGGTGTGCAAGTAAGGACGTTGGGCCCCGAAGGGAGGTGGATTTAGTGGGGGTCCCACATCGATTGAAGAAAGGAACGAGTGTCAGCGAGGACGCTAGGCCCTGAAGGGGGTGGATTGTGAGATCCCACATCTGTTGGGAAGAAAAACGAAACACCCTTTGTAAGGTGTGGAAACCTCTCCCTTAACAGACGCGTTTTAAAAACCTTGAGGGAAAGCCCAAAGAGGACAATATCTGCTAGCGGTGGGTGTAGGCCGTTACATTATGAACTGAACTTCTTCTGATTTATGCTGATTCTATGCATTTTGCAAAACTTTCAGCGAGTCTTTGGGGTACCAACCCTTGAAAAAACAGCTCATGATGACTTCAGGAAGCTAGCCTCAGCTATATATCTGCAAGTGAGCACTATCAGTCAGGCACTCATTTTTGTTACTCGATCACGGAGTTGGTCCTACGTCGAGCGTCCTGGGCTGTTTCTTGTCGTGGCATTTATAATTGCTCAGCTGGTAAGGGGAGATTTGTTTGAAACGTTTCACTTGTAAGAACACACTAAGTTTAGATGTGTTGATGAACAGGTTGCTACTCTTATTGCTGTGTATGCTAATTGGAGCTTTGCTGCCATTGAAGGAATTGGTTGGGGTTGGGCTGGTGTCATTTGGCTCTATAACATTATCTTTTATGTTCCTCTTGATCCTATAAAGTTTGCTATCAGATATGCTTTGAGTGGAAAGGCTTGGGATCTCATGCTTGAGCAAAGGGTACTAAAATTTGCATTGTTTCTTGTAGTAACTTACGAAAGTTTGTGTGTTATGCATCATTTGGTTTATTTGTTTGTATTGTTTATAGGTTGCTTTCACAAGACAAAAGGATTTCGGTAAGGAACAACGTGAGCTACAATGGGCTCACGCTCAAAGAACGTTGCACGGTTTGCAACCGCCTGATACGAAGATGTTCACTGAGCGAACTCACTTCACTGAACTCAATCATATGGCTGAAGAAGCTAAAAGAAGAGCGGAAATTGCTAGGTATGCTTCAAATGCTCGTGTGTCGGTAGTTTGTGTTAGGAATTACGAACCTTCGTAATGGTATGACATTGTCCACTTTGAGCATAAGCTCTCGTGGTTTTACTTTTGGTTTCCTCGAAAGGCAAGATGTATTCCTTACTTATAAACCCTGATCAACCCCTTAATTAGGGGATGTGAGACTCCTCCCCAACCATCCTAAAAAATTCTCTCATCGAACAAAATACACCATAGAGTCTCCCCTGAGGCCTATGGAGCCTTCGAATAGTCTCTCCTTAATCGAGGCTGACTCCTTACTTATAATTAGCCAATGTAGGGCTCATCTCCCAACAATCCTAAAAAATCTCCATTCGAACAACGTATATCATAAAACCTCCCATGAGGCCTATGGAGCCCTTGGACAGTCTCCCCCTAAATCGAGGCTCGACTCCTTACTTATAAACCCCATAATCAACCCCTTAATTATCCGATTTAGGACTCCTCTTCCAACAATCTTAAAAAATCCTCCCCTCGAACAAAATGTACTATAGAGCCTCCCTTGAGACCTAGGGAGCCCTAGAGCAGCCTCTCCTCAATCGAGACTCGACTCCTCTATAGCCCTCAAACAAAGTACACCCTTTGTCCGACACTTGAGTCACTTTTGACTACACTTTCGAAGCTCACAACTTCTTTGTTTGACATTTGAGGATTCTAACATAGCTCTGATTCCATGTTAGGAATCACAAATCTCCACAATAGTATGATATTGTCCACTTTACTCTCCCAACAATCCTCAACCATTCGTTACTTTTATTGTTTTCTTGGAAACTCGAACATCATCGTTTGTTCGACATATATCTATGTCCGAGCATATGAGCTAGTTTAAGTTATCATATGCAGCTGCCAGTTCAGTTTTATTTCATGAATTTTTGCAGATTGAGGGAACTCCATACACTAAAAGGTCACGTCGAATCAGTCGTTCGATTGAAGGGTCTCGATATCGAAACGATTCAACAATCATACACCGTGTGATGGGATGTCCAACACTGTAAAATACTCTGTTTTGTAGCTGTATGCTGACTGCTGGTATTGAGATGAGCAATTGGCATATGCTATCTGCAACTTAAAGAAGGATGAAACAGCATTTTACTTCTGTTCTTGGCTTTTTGTTTATTAGCATGTTAGACGACTGTCATTTTTGACGTTTTCTATGTCGTATTTGTCTATTTTCTATTGCTGGACTTAATATCTGGTTATGCACGGTGTCATGGTTATGCTTGTTCGGAGCATATTGTTCATGACCATATGCTTGTTCCGAACCATTTACCTTGTTTCGTTGTATAACTCGCCACTTTTTGATATCTATACCTACCAAAGGCTATTTGTCTCGTAATGTATTATTGGAGGGTATGACTGGTTGTTAAATCTTCCTATCTCGATTATATACTATCGATGTTGTCTCAACAATATTTTCCAAAACTTTCCCTAACTCCGTTTTCTAGCGTCGTTTTCCAAGATGGAGGTAGAGGCCATGAAATAGACTAATTGTGCCACTGACGATCTAAGCTTGAGTTGGTTGACTTACTCAAGCGTGAAAGCAAGTGTCATCATTTTGTGAGTCCTAAACAAGTGTGATTGTGAGACGCCAAAACCTATCACGATTCTACTATTGACATCATGTACCTTCTTTCTCCACTGCTTATGTTAAAACAGTAAATATTGCATACCCGACAAATGAAATTGACCTTCCAATGCTTCTCGTGTTGTATGTCAACCTGAGAAATGGACGTGGAAGCTTAAGAAATGCCCATGAAAAAGAATCAAGGTAACCTATCATCCACATACTTGAAAATTGAAGTTCTTAGGACAACATGACTCACACACTCGATCACAATCGAAGGTATATATATATATATGGTTCAGTTTACTATATAACTATCTACTCGTATGTATAACCATCGAGTAAACTATAAATAAACAACATGCTCCATAACCTAACATAAGCAGCATGCTCTATAGCCTAGAAAAATATGAAAAGTTATAGTTATGATTTTTATGAACGAGCTTTAAGCTCTTTCTAAAAAATAATAATAAAACAACTGCAACGTATAAAAAAAATGAAAAATTATTGTTTTATCCCTTAGAATAATTTTTATTTAGCCCATCAATTTCAAAATATTAACCGTCAAATTGAAATATTATAGTCGGTTTAAAAAATATTTTTAACTTTTAAAATTGTTCCAAAATATCTTTAAATTTTTTAAAAATATATTAAAAACACATTTTAATTTTTTTAAAAAAATTAAAAAATACATTTATTATTAATACCATTTACTTTCTAAAATAACATTAAAATGTTTAAATATAATCGATGAGGATTGATTTGCGGGTTTTTTTTTTCATGTGTTGACGGTAAGATATTTTTTAAAACTTTTTTAATATTAATATGGTGGAGTATTCGTTAAATAAAATACTAACCGTTCTTATAACAACCTAACCGTAACAATATTTTAAAATTTTAAATATATTATTATTTTAAAATAAAGATGTGTTTGAGACAAGATAAAATTATAAAAAAAAAAATAGAAAAGGCAAGGATATCCTGTGGACGTTTCCACTGCACGCACAAAATGTAAGCAATATCCATGAAACGCGTGTCCCCTGTTTGGAGCGAAGTCATGATCGAGGTAAAAGCCTCTCAAAATTAACTTTTGAATTTCTCGTTGCGTTTCATTTGCACAACTCTCAATGCCCACTTTGAAAAAAGCCTGCCACTCTGCTCATCAAATGCAGGAAAGTAATTTCTCTCTCTCCCTCTTTCTCTCTCACCTGTTCGAATGATTATTCAGTTTAATAATGGCGTCTTCCTCCTCCCATTCCCCGTTTACCACTTCCCCAAGCTTCCTTCCTACTCCAACCTTTACCCTTTTTATCATCACAATGAAACCCTACTCTTCATTCTTGTCTAACTCAGCAGCGGCCTCCTCAATGTGCAAGGAAATTCAAATGGGCATGTTCGTTTTGGCTTTCTCATCCATTTTGCTATCGACCCTTTTCGGTTCTTGCACTCTCGCTCTTACCCCAGATGGTAAATCCCCGTTTTGGGGCTTCCCCTGCTTGATTTCCTTAACTTGTTCTTCTTTTTTTCATGTGGGTATGCTGGAGAATGATGTTGTGTTCATGATTTTGAACCAATCAAATAGAATGAGTAGCACTAGCTGTATCTTGACGCTTTGTTGTGGCATGTTTTTCGTTTCATTTGAATGATTATATTAGTTTTCATCGCCTTCTCCATGTTCGGTTAGGAATCACGACTTTTCGCAATGGTATGATATTGTCCACTTTGAGCATAAACTTTCATGGCTTGCTTGATCATTCTTCGAACAAAGTATACTATAGAGCCTCCTCTAAAGTCTATGGAGCCCTTGAACAGCTCCCATAAATATAGGCTCTACTCCTTTCTCTGGAGTCCTTGAACATAGTACACCATTTGTTCGACACTTGAGTCACTTTTGAATACACATTCGAGGCTCATAATTTCTTTGTTCGACACTTGAAGATTCTATTGACATGACTAAGTCGATGGCATGACTCTGATACCATGTTAGAAATCAAGACCCTCCACATTGGTATGATATTGTCCACTTTGAGCATAAGCTCTCATGCTCATACCAATGGAGATGTATTTCTTATTTAGAAACCTATGATCATTCCCTAAATTAACCAATGTGGGACTCTCTCCCAACAATCCTCCCTATGGAGCCCTCAAACATCCTCCCCTTAATCGAGGCTCGACTCCTTTCTCAGGAGTACTCGAACATAATACACCTTTCGTTCGACACTTGAGTCACTTTTCACTACATATTCGAGCCTCACAACTTCTTTATTCGACACCCGAGGATTCTATTGACATGACTAAATTAAAGGCATGACTCTGATACCATGTTAGGAATTACGACCCTCCACAATGGTATGATATTGTCCACTTTGAGCATAAGCTCTCATGACTTTGCTTTGGATTTTTCCAAAAAGTCTCATACCAATGGAGATGTATTCCTTATAAATCCACGATTGTTCCCTAAATTAGCCAACGTGGGACTCCCTCCCAACAATCCTCAACCGTTCATTCTCATTGTTTTCATTTTCAAATCCTCTATGGCATAGGACTAGCGTTGTTGGAAATTAGAAGCGCTTTTAATGATAGCAAAAACCTCCTTGGTGATTGGGAAGCTTCTGATGAGTCGCCCTGCAAATGGACTGGTATATCTTGTCACCTTGAGGACCAACGGGTCAGCTCAATGTATGTCACTTTCCATCTTTGCCTTCATTTTATTTCAGGGTTGTGTGCTTTCGTCTCTTAATTGATGTTTTGATGTTTGGTTTGGGATGTTTCAGTAACTTACCTTACATGCAACTAGGAGGGATTATTTCTCCTAGCATTGGTAAACTCAGTAGATTACAGAGACTGTAAGTCCTGCGGCCATTTCTTCCTCATATTTTCCCTCCTCAGAGTAATATGATGGGCAAGAAGCTGAAGTTTAGAGCTTATTTGATCTTACTTCTCCTTCTTCACTTTTGAATGTTAAACAGGGCACTTCACCAAAATGGGTTACATGGATATATTCCTAATGAAATCACTAAATGTATTCAGCTAAAAGCTCTGTAAGTATAGAGTGTTCCTACGACTAGTTTCAGGGGAATGAAGCATTCCTTATAAGGGTGTGGAAATCTCTCCCTACCAGACGCATTTTAAAATTGTGAGGCTGACGACGTTATGTAACGAGCCAAAATGGACAATATCTATTAGCGGTGGGCTTAGACTGTTACAAATGATATTAGAGCCAGACATCGGGCGGTGTGTCAGCGTCCTCGTTGGGCTCCTAAAGGGCTGGATTGTGAAGATCCCACATCGGTTGGAGAGGGGAACAAACATTTCTTATAAGGGTGTGGAAATCTCTCCCTCGCAGATGCGTTTTAGAATCGTGAGACTAATGGCGATACGTAACGGGCCAAAATGGACAATATCTGTTAGTGGTGGGCTTAGGCTGTTACAAATGGTATCAGAGCCAAACATTGGGCAGTATACTAGCGAGGACGTTGGGCCCTCAAGGGGGATGGATTGTGAGATCCCACATTGGTTGGAGAGGGGAACGAAACATTCCTTATAAGGGTGTAGGAACCTCTTCCTAGCAGACGCGTTTTAAAATCGTGAAGCTAATGACGATACGCAACAAGTCAAAGCAGACAATATATGTTAGCACTTGTGTTGTTACATAAACATTCATCCAAATTTATTTTTTTTTTACCATTTTTATAGGTATTTGAGGGCTAATTATCTTCAAGGTGGTATACCATCAGATATTGGTAGCCTTTCTGCTCTTACAATACTGTAAGTTTTCCTGAATGTTTGAAAAAATGTTACTTGGATCTTCTTTTGGTACTGTTCATTTGCACTAAATTAGTAAGATCAGGAACTTTTCTTTTTATTTCATTGTTATATATCTTCTCAATATTGAGTTTCAAATGTAGGGACTTATCAGGCAATTCGTTAAAGGGTGCTATTCCATCATCCATTGGTCGTCTCTCGCTTCTGCGCCATCTGTAAGTTGAATAGTAGCTGTGGCACAACAAGAGTTCACTTAACACTTATACTTCCTGTGGTTATATCAATGTTTCCATTTCATTTGCAGGAATTTGTCCACAAACTTTTTCTCTGGGGAGATACCTGATTTTGGAGTTCTAAGCACATTTGGAAGCAATTCGTGAGTGATCGAGTCACATGTATTCTCCAAAATTTACATTCATACCAAGTTGTTGAATCATCTATGAAATTGTGATATACATCTGGAAATCCGGGTTAAAACTTGAATATTGTGTGAAGTTCGTTGGGATTATATTATGGGATTGAGTGTTGGGGATTGTTGGGAGGGAGTCCCACGTTGGCTAATTAAGGGAATGATCATGGGTTTATAAGTAAGGAATACATCTCCACTGGTACGAGGCCTTTTGGGGAAACCTAAAGTAAAGCCATGAGAGCTTATGCTCAAAGTGGACAATATCATACCATTATGGAGATTTGTGATTCCTAACATGGTATTAGAGTCATGTCCTTAACTTAATCATGTCAATAGAATGTTCAAATGTCGAACAAAGAAGTTGGGACCCTTGAAAGTGTAGTCAAAAGTGACTCAAGTATCGAACAAAGAGTGTACTTTGTTTGACGGCTCTAGAGAAAGGAGTCGAGTCTTAATTAAGGGGAAGTTGTTCGAGAGCTCCATAGGCCTCAGGGGAGACTCTACAATGTACTTTGTTCAAGGGGAGGATTGTTTTGGATCGTTGGGAGGGAGTCCACATTGGCTAATTAAGGGAATGATCATGAGTTTATAAATAAGGAATACATCTCCACTAGTACGAGGCCTTTTGGGGAAATCTAAATTTAAGTTATGAGAGTTTATGCTCAAAGTGGACAATATCATACCATTGTGGAAATCCGTGATTCCTAACATTCAATGTCTTGTCTTCTGAGATTGTTATATTCATAGTTAAGTGTGTAACTGCAGGTTTGTTGGCAATCTAGATCTCTGTGGTCATCAAGTTAACAAGGCCTGCCAAACCTCGTTGGGATTCCCTGCAGTGTTGCCCCATGCTGAAAGCGATGAAGCTTCAGGTTAGCTTGATGAACAACGACATTTCATCTTGAATCACTTTTTTCTCCTTGTAAAACTTAATAGTTCTTCCTTGATTTTCTGTAGTGCCTGTGAAAAGACCTTCACACTACATCAAAGGAGTATTAATTGGTGCAGTGTCCACCATGGGAGTTGCATTTGTAGTACTCGTTCCATTCTTGTGGATTCGTTGGCTATCGAAGAAGGAACGAGCTGCGAAACGATACACAGAAGTCAAAAAACAAGTGGTTCACGAACCAAGTAATCCTCGGTTCTCGTTGCAGATATTGTTTTTCTTTAGTATTGTGCAACTGATGCTAAACCTCAATGTACAACAGACACAAAACTTATTACTTTTCATGGCGACCTACCGTACCCGTCATGCGAGATCATCGAAAAGCTGGAGTCACTAGAGGAAGAAGACGTTGTTGGTTCAGGAGGATTCGGGATCGTGTACCGAATGGTCATGAACGATTGTGGGACATTTGCTGTTAAAAAGATTGATGGAAGCAGAAAAGGTTCTGACCAAGTGTTTGAGAGAGAGTTGGAGATTCTGGGTTGCATCAAACATATAAACTTGGTCAATTTGAGGGGTTATTGTAGTCTTCCAACTTCAAAGCTTCTTATCTATGACTTCCTTGCAATGGGCAGCTTAGATGATTTTCTGCATGGTATGACATTAACATGGGTCCATCTTCCATCCTTTTTCGAGTCGTTCCACTCTTTTAGTGCCGAGTGTTTTCAATATAACGTATAGAGCATTATCGTTTCCTTTTCCTTATCTAATGCAGAACAGGAATCAGAAAGACAACCTTTGGATTGGCGAGCTCGTTTAAAGGTAGCATTGGGCTCTGCTAGGGGGATTGCATATTTGCATCATGATTGTAGTCCAAAGATCGTGCATCGTGACATTAAATCGAGCAACATTCTTCTTGACGAGAACTTGGAGCCTCATGTATCTGACTTTGGACTAGCCAAGCTTTTGGTTGATGAGGATTCTCATGTCACAACTGTTGTTGCTGGAACATTTGGTTATTTGGCTCCAGGTGCTCATTAGTTTTACCTCATTTATTCGTTTTTAAAAGAAACTTTCGATACGATCGTTCGAGAATGATTTGAAGTGTTTCCTTACTCTTAAATGGCTGACTTTGCTATGTCTATGTAGAGTATCTACAAAGTGGGAGGGCGACCGAAAAATCCGATGTTTATAGCTTTGGAGTTTTGTTACTCGAGCTGGTGACTGGGAAGAGACCAACTGATCCATCATTTGTAAAGAGAGGCTTGAATGTTGTTGGTTGGGTAAGCTCTAAAAATGCATCTTTCTGCCCAAAACATTACTCTTTATGGTTCTATAAACTTTCTACGATGGTACCGTCGAGGATCAATAGAAGCAAATGAAATTTGAGATCAATTTTGTTCGAGAAAATTAATTTTTTTCAATGTTCGAGACGGCAAATGTAATGACCCAAGCCCACTACTAGCAAATTTGTCTTTTTTGAGTTTTCCCTTTTGAGCTTCCCTCAAGATTTCTAAAACGTGTATGCTACGGAGATGTTTTCACACCCTTATAAAGGGTGTTTTGTTCTAATGTGAGATCTCACAATCCACCCCCTTCAGGGCCCAACGTCCTTGCTGACACTCGTTCTCTTCTCCAATCGATGTGGGACCCCCAAATCCACCCCCCTTTAGGGTCCAGCGTTCTTGCTGGCATCCTGCCTCGTGTCCACCCCTGGGGGGCTCAGCCTCCTTGCTGGCACATCGTCCGGTGTTGGCCCGGATACCATTTGTAACGATCCAAGCCCACCGGTAGCAGATATTGTTCTCTTTGGACTTTCTCTTTCGAGTTTCACCTCAAAGTTTTTAAAAACGCGTCTGCTAGGAAGAGGTTTCCACACCCTTACAAAACACTACTATTTATGGTTCTAAAAACTTTCTAGCAAATGAAATTTGAGCTCACTTTTGTTTGAGAAAATTAGCTTTTTCAATGTTCTAGACTGCTAATGTATGCACAGACATGTTAGAACATGATGATTCATTACAGATGCACACATTATTGGGAGAAAACAAAATGGATGAGATAGTCGACAAAAGGTGCAAGGAGGTCGATGCCGATACAGTCGAAGCAATCCTTGAAATAGCAGCCAAATGCACGGATGCCGACCCAGACAATCGGCCATCGATGAGTCAAGTTTTGCAGTTTCTAGAGCAAGAAGTCATGTCACCATGTCCTAGTGATTTCTATGAGTCTCATTCTGATTATTCTTGATACTTTCTGTAACTGCAGTCCTTGAATATTTCATCTCTCTCAATGAAATATGCAGATCATGGAGTTTGATGGTTAGCCTAGCTCTGTCTTGACTGGTAAGTTATATATAATGTATGGTCTTGTAGAAATAAAATTGTGTATGATATTGATTGATTTCTTTCCGTAGTTGTTAGCCGATATCGTTTTCGTTGGACTTTTCCTTAAGGCTTTTAGAATGCGTCTACTAGGGAGAGGTTTCTATACCCTTATAAAAAAGGTTTTGTTTCGTAATTCTCCCCAACCGATGTGTGATCTCACAATCCACCCCAATTTGAGGCCTAGTGTCCTCGTTGGCACTCGTTTCCTTCTCCAATTGATGTGGGACTCCTCAATCTACCTCCCTTTGAGGCCGAGCATCCTTGCTAGCACAACGCCTCATGTCTACCTCCTTCGGGACTCAGCTTCCTCGTTGACACATCGTTCGATGTCTAGCTCTGGTACCATTGGTAATAACCAAGTTGACTGCTAGCAAATAGTCTTTTTTAAGCTTTTCTTCAAGGTTTTGGTTTTTAAAACGCGTTTGCTAGAGAGAAGTTTATACACTTTTATAAATAATGTTTCATTTTTATCTCCAATCGATGTAGTATCTCACACTTACTGAATTGTGTCAAAAGTGTTTCTGAGTTTAACTCCAAAGGACAAAAGTAAGGTATAAAGCCACCTACTGCCACTGACTTACTGCTGTATTCTTCTGTTCTTGACTGTTTTTTTAAAGTCAAATCTGTAACAGGGGCTGACAAACCCATCTGCAAGAGAATCTGTATCAGACTCCTGCCCCACTCGGTTGAATTCTATGTAATGTAATCCCTTTACATTGATGGAATGTTAATATTATTTTGCCTATTTATAGTGGGTAAACGGTTATCAATGGTAAAGCTATATCGGGTAAAGTTATATATAATAAACAGCTCTAATGTAATCCCTGTATTACTTTCTGTATTCTCTCTCCTATTTTTTTTAATGTTAAGTTGTTGGGCTATCTAACATATTTGAGTAATTTTAGATAAGTACAAGCACGATAGAAAGGGAGCGGCTGTTTGGTTTTTAATGTTTTAGAAGTGGCAACGACACAGAACTGGAGTTGTCTCTTTCTGCTAATGGCTTTCTGACCTCTTCAAAGGCCAATCTGTAACACAGCTTCGAGTTTTTTCTTTACAGACCTCTGTGTTCTTCAGAACTTTCCCAAATCCCCTTTGTCAGATTCACGTCTGAATTTACATTGCATGCCATTATTACTCTGATAATATTCTGTTTCTTTTCCATTTCTATATCGCCGACACTTTTTGCGTCTTTTGTCGGCCAAGCATCCAAGATAACGTTTGGTTGAGCTAGAGCAACAGTAGCTTGGAGGTGGGTCGAGGGTAAAATCCAGTATGAGTCTGGAATTGAAGACGATTCACCACCATTTCTGCCGCCGTAGCCGCCGCCATTACGACTGTCAGCAGCAGTTTCAACCCAGTTCGTTCATTTCTTTGCTGCCGAATTACCATTTATTGAATGGGAAACAAGGGATTTCAGCAAAATGGTCCGTTGGGCTGCTGAGAAGACGAAGTGGCGGCGGAATTAGTCGCCGGAATGTTGTGGTGGTGTCCAGCGTTGGTGGTGTCCCGATTTCAGATGGGTCGAAACCAGACAAAGGCTTTGTTTCTCCTCCTCTCAGTGACATCCTTTGGCCTTCTGCAGGTTAGTTGATGAACAAAAAAACCCTTCTGAATCATAATCTGTGAGAATTTCTTCATCAAACCCATGCCGTGAAACTGAAATTCGATGAAACAGGGGCATTTGCAGCGATGGCAATACTGGGGAAGATAGATCAAATTCTAGCGCCGAAGGGGCTTTCTATGACAATTGCACCATTAGGCGCCGTCTGTGCCGTCCTGTTCGCGACACCCGCCGCCCCTGCCGCTCGAGTACTCACCCTGTCTCGAATTTTCCTGTTGCTTTGGTTACTATAGTCTTTTGCTGAATTGGGTTTGTTTTTTTTGTGATGCAGAAGTACAATATCTTTGTGGCCCAGATTGGTTGTGCAGCAATTGGGGTTTTGACGTTAACTTTCTTGGGGCCTGGATGGCTGGCCAGAAGCTCTGCTCTTGCTGCATCCATGGCGTTCATGATCTATACCGGTTCAACGCACCCACCAGGTTGAAATCATGGCACCTCAAGCTTTGAGAATCCATTGTTGTTTGTTTATTTGTATTGGGTTTGATTTGATTGTATTATGAACAGCTGCGAGTTTGCCGATTCTGTTCATCGATGGAGCTAAGCTGCATCATCTGAATTTCTGGTATGCTCTGTTTCCGGGTGCCGCTGGATGTATAATCCTCTGCTTGATAGTAAGTTCTCTCCCTCTCTGGAATCTTTCAAATTCATGGGTTTTTTTTTTTTTTTTTTTTTTTTTTTTTTTT